TGTGATTCGGTAACGCCCGCTATCATCTATGCAAACGATTCTAAAAACAAACAGTCGTAAATCCTTTGGGAATAGCTCCTGTCGATTCGACGATCATCGCCAAACCTCGAAGCAGAGCTAACGTGAATCGCGGCAATAATGAAATCATCGGTGGATTTACTCCGATCGACGTGGCGCGGATGGGGTGGAAATTTCTCGAAGGGCGTTGATGTCGCGAGTTGCAACGTTTTCGCGGGGAATTGAGGGCCAATGGCGACCCCTTTCCAGCGTCGACCGAGTTTCAACGCCATCAGGAACGAGGAAGGTTAAGAAAAACAATGTAGCATTTACTGTCAAAGTTGAAACGAGCATTGTCTGTCGCAGGGGGCCCTTGATGAGGATTCGCGCTTCTTCAAACCAGCGGTCGACGTGTTTGGGACACGTATTTTCTTCCAAGTTTCCAACTATTGTTTTTACTCGATTGAGAAAGTTTGAGTCGCGTGATGGATTCGAAGGTATTTTAAATGCTTATAGTACTTCCGTAATCGACAATGGTATATTTCCTTTTATTATTTTATCGGTAACCTTAAAATATCCAGTGAAATTTCAGGATTGAATATTTGTTTCCTCGTTTAAAACGGTTAAAATTGTCCGAGTGATAAACGCTCGTGCGATCTTCGTCTGCGATCGTAATTTCTCAACGCGGCGTTTAATTTGAAGATCGAAGGGTAAATCAAGCGCCGGTTCATTGTCTCCGATTCAATGAAATCGGCGTCCTCATTGGAATGTGTCGAGTATTTGCGAACATCCCACGGCACGGGTGAGCTTCGTCGAATCGAACGTAGCTGGCAATCGGGCCCACGTGACGCGCGTTTCGACCGGAAGTCCGTTGACGGAAGACGAATGAAGATTCGCGCATGACCAGGTTCGATAAACGAAAATCTATAATCAATTCGCCTTCCTACGAGACAACTTTGACGAAAAGTAAGCTCCCCGCGAGTCGTTCTCTCGATACACGTGGCTACTGGACGATTGAAAAAAACTGGGTCAAACGTTTCTAAGAAATCAACGTTCAACTCTTCTGATTTTAATGACACTTTACTTTCGTAACCACCGTTTGTTTCAGACAGGCCATTCGGATATTTGTAGAAAATATTTTGTTAGGATCGTCAACAATTTTGGCCGACCATCGAAATTTTATCACGCGTGAAACCAGCTGCCATAAATTGCACTTTAACGTGGCAAGAATTTAATGGTTCGCCTGGAGCCGAGTTTGCCTTACTTGTGAACCACCCTGTATATAGATATGCATATCCGAATCGTGAGAAAGCTGTACGTCTGGCCAGGTGAACTATCCGTTCTATATTCGTTTTCGTCCTGCATAGATACGTTTCGTATTAAAAATAGATCCGTATCCATCAAACGTTGACACGCGATAAATACGTGATACCGCGTGTCAACCTAATCGAGAATTGTAAAAATTGGTCGAACGTTCCGGTGGTTCCACGAACGAATGTCAACGAGCGTAATACGAACGTGTATCAATCTCTAAACGATCTCCTTATCTGTCTAGTTTATAAGTATCATTTTTTTTTCTTTTATAAATTACTTTCTAGAAAGGAATGAGAAAGAGGAAGAACATTTTTTCTTTGAAAATTTCTTACAAGTTTCCGTGCAACTGTTGAAGCAGCTGCGACGTCGACGAACTACGAGGCCCTCGACCTTTCCAGCGATCCTCCCCGGTCTTAACGTCAACGGGAGGACAATGGAAGCGCGCCTTGAGTTCGATTCTCGTTAATAGGCCGGCAGGCGAAGCC